ATTGCCCAGAACTCCATCTCTTCATGTCAGAGTTAACGATTCAAAATGAAATTATGCACTACATTTTTAATATTCAGATGAATGGAGGAAAATGAATCAAATCTAATACCTGCTAGAATGAACTCGTTAGCACATTTTATATTTCCATGTTTTTCTACAAATGATCACACAAAAACAATTTAATAATCATACACTAGCTAGCAAAAGAGCTAAATTGAAAGTCAATGTATTTTATATTTTACCAACACATACACTCTTCCTGTCTACCTTGAAAATGTATTCACCCCTCGATACACACTAAGTTACACTTATTAGCATCCTGAAAATAGTAAACTGTTCTTGAATAACCAATATCATTTAAAACTTTATTCAAATGACTAATAGAACTAGCTAGATCTAATATGAATACTAAAAAAATATCTTATTCTGGTAATGACAGATCACCTGCTCAGACTTCCTGGTAAGTAAACACATAAAAATGGCTAAACAATACATTACTATGGCAACAACTTAAATTCTAGTTATCCACAGTTACAGCGGCAGCCATAGGAACTAGTACTTTCTTTAAGACATGGAAGTAAACAGGCTGTCTCCTTCTTGTATCTTTCTTAGTCTGATACAAATAAGATCTCTTTTACTTATAGGATGAATTAAAAAATAATTTAATTAAATGTAAGAAATATCATTGAATGCATATTTTATCTCCAGTAATAGAGGCATGCTTTATAAGGATTAACCAAAACAACCAAGAAAAACAGGGATTTAAAATGAAAGTAATATAATGATATTGTATGTTATTAGATATCCTCCAAGTAGAATGCATATATTCTATTTGTGTATATTGTATCTCTGCCATGTACATATATATTTATACTTAAACTCATATTTTTAAAAGATACAATATATAAATAAGAACTAAAAAAATAATAGTAAAATAATTTAAATTAAATATTTAATAATTAATAAACTAGTCGAATAATTAATATATAATTAATGTTCTTCAAGATGAAGTCATTGGTTACATTTTTCTATTATTCATATTCTACTTCTTAGTACCGAATTTTAGCTTATTTTCTTATTTATTGAAATATCCTGATAACTCTGCCTTAGAATCAACAGAACTAATTTAGATTTTTTTAGTTACATGTATACAATTGACAAATTTATATACTACACATATATTTTTTCTTATATGTTGTCTTATCTATCTTGGAGAAGACACTAAAGCTGCTAGTCTAGATAAATAACTGGGCACATTTCTCCTTTGTTGTAAGACATACTGGACATACATAGGACAGTTGACTTCTACCAGCTTCAGTAGACATCAACATAGGTCTTGAATTTGTTATACAAATAGCTGTGTATTATTTTAAATATAGTTAAATCTCTAAGTAAATCTTTATGGCTTTTTTATTCAAAGAATGGAGTACTGGGTCTGGAGGAAAATAGACTTTAAATTTCCCTCTACTATTTATCATTACTACCTTGAGTTCAAAACACATTGGAAAATCTACTGTCAAGAACCTCTTCAAAGTTCTAAAGAGCAAGGATGTAAGTTTGAGAACTAAGGCGTTCCAGATCCATGTCATAGTATTTTCAATTACTTCCTATGCCTGTGAAAAGTGGGCAATGTATAAGGATGACAGAAGAAGAATCAATGTCTCTGAGTTATGTAGAGGGAAGAGTACAGAATATTCTTTGGACTATAAAGAACAAACAAGTCTGTCTTGAAGAAAATAAACCTAGGGTAGTCTTTAGAGGCAAGAATGAGAACACTTCATTTTCTATCTGTTGGACATGTTGTCAGGAGGGCCTAGTCCTTGGAAAAAGACATCCCACTGGGAAGGCGAAGGGGCAGAGAATGAGAGAAAGACTCTACCAAAAGATTGACATAGTGACTGTAACAATGACTTATGCATATCAGAGATCTTGAAGACGGCACAGGACAGGCCCGAGTTCATATTTGTTGATCGTAGAGTCCCTATGAGTTGTGGTGGACTCTATGGGACCTAATAACACCATGTTGAGTTTTGCTTCAATTTTCCTATCTCTATCACAGAAATTGTAATACCTTAATAACTTAGCCCTTTGTTGCGAGGTTTAAATGAAATAATTAAGCAAGTCACTTAGTATATACTTGATACTAATGGTCAATTAAAACCTTTTGAAGCTACTATGTCAAAATAATTGACCTCTTTGACCTTGACTTCTATGCTATAATTTCTTTTTAATTAGGATGAAGAAGGAACTGAGGGGTTTTCTTCACCTTCTCTGAGAAGTCTGGTTTCTTGACCTAAACTAACCATGTATCCATGTTTAAAATCACTATCATACCTCGTTATAGGGGGCTTCTTAACCATCACCCTCCACCAGGGACCTACATCTGGAAATTCCCATCCTTCTTAAGGACATCATTTTCTTGAAGGTAGGATTCCAATTTTTCCTCCTTTTTTTCCCCATCAGAAAAAAATTCTGTCTGCAGACCACCAGGAATCCAGAAATACTTTCCTTGAAATAATTAAGGCTTTTGCAGGAAAACGAAAACTAAAAAACTAACAAATCAAATAATTTGCCCTAGGATAGGTGTTGACAATTTCATTGCCCTGAGATGCAGCTCAGGAACAAGAGAATTAGGAGACAGAATGATAAATGGTTTTAGGAGTTGTGATGAGTTACACCAATACATTTTCTTTTAAAAGTGTTAAATAATATGTATTTCAGAATATCATTGTGCTGAGAAAGCATTCTCTTGGAGAATCTAAAAACAAATGTGCTAAAAACTGCTCTGTGTGCTTTTACGTGTGTGTTTGTATGTATGTGTGTGTCTGTGTGTGTGTGTGTGTGTGTGAGAGAGAGAGAGAGAGAGAGAGAGAAAGACACACACAGAGACAGAGACAGAGAGACAGAGAGAAATCTATGGTCTGCATCCTTTAACACACTTTTCAAAAGTGGTGATGTGTTGGAATTCAGACCCCTATCAATGTATGTTGTTTTATTACTTGTTTTAAACTAAGTGCAGATAAAATAGACTTGTCTAGAGATTCCAGAAGAATCTATTTGAAGCTAGAATTTCAGTGACCCATAAATTCCAACAGTTCAATGCTTTTCCTGTTAATTTTTCTGGGCCTTAACCAGAAATCAGGACGGTGGATGAAAAAACAGTTCTTCAGGATAATGATTGATTTCCATAAAGATGAGTGCTTTAACATGTTTCAGTACACAATTGCTGGGGCAGGCAGGGTGGGTGGGCACAAATTAGTGTTACCATTTCCACAGATGTTGAATTCAAAACACCAAGAGCCTTTCAAATGCCAGTCTATAAGGGCTGTCTCTCATTGAAGAGTGCTGACCAATGAAATCTCGACTCTGTTTAATGAGACCAATCTAGGCAGAGTCAATTAAATCAAACCTTCACTCACATCCTTAATATATCTGCAGTGGGTGCAGCAGAAGCCGAGGCAGCAGCGATGAAGTTCAGTATTAATAAAGGGATTCACTGCAGCACGAGGAGAGACCGAGAGAGAGGGGGCGGGCATGAGCTGGGGAAGACCTGACTTGATGGAAAGGATAAACCTGGCAAAGTTGGATCAAGGGAGGGGGAGGAGGGGAGCTATGCAAAGGGAGAAAAAAAATAAAGCAAAGGCCTTAAATCCCTTCAAGTAGCTCAAAGAGGGATCCACCCCAGACGGACCCCCTCCCACGTCCCTTCTACTGCAAATCCGATTTACCAGTTGCAAGTGAAGCTGGAAAAATATAAAGACCACAGTTGAAAACATTTTCACTTTAATACTGAAAAAATATGCCATTATAAAATTCCTCGAATAGAATTAGTAAGTCTTACGTGCTTCCTCGGTTCTTTTTTTCTTCCTTTATAAGTAAGATTTACACCAGCACAGAATTGCTACCGTAGGATCGCAGCCTAAGCACTAGTGACATTAATTGGTCATGCTTAACTGCCTCGAAGTCTCTTCTTATATATATATATATATGTATATATATAATTACACTGATACCATAATAGAAATCATGGGTACTTATTTTACATTCAGATGGAAGGCATTACTGGATATGTGTAGAAAAATATTCCCCTCAAAAGTAAAATAAAGCATCAGCATCAAAAGAAAAGGAAGAACCCAAAACAGCCGGTAAAAACTTCGCTCAACAAAATACATTTTAACTCATAAAATGGACTGATGACTAGCCATGCAAATGTCTTAAATAAAACCTTTACATTTTTTTTCACAGTAAACATACGCTCCGAATTGCCTACCTATCACAAATAAATGGCGAAATGGCACTTTCTGATTATACTGTATCTTGCTTATAGAAAGTTTGATACGATGGGATTTATCAGGGTAGAGGGCGAGTGCTGAGAAGGAGAAGTCTCCAGTCACCAGGGAGGGCAGTGTCCCTGGGGCCTTGGATTCCATGCGAGCCATGCAGCACGTTTGGGTTTGTGTCTTTTTTGTTCATTTGTCAGAAGTCAGAGTTCATTATTTACAATACATTCATGCCTTCGTGCAACTGCTCATCCCTGCGTGGTCTACAGGGAGCCATCACGCCCCCTTCATGGCGAGGTTAATCCACAGGGGAAAAATAGATACCTATCTCTACATAGATGTGGGTTTGGATGTGTATGTGCAGGATCCCAGCGGCCCTCCCCTCAGGCTCCTTGGATGACAGCGAGGGCTGGGCGCTTCACTGAGCAGGGTCTGGGGGGGGGCGGGGGCTTCTCCTTCAAGGGGCGCCCAGCAGAGAGCTCGCTGGCTGTGTGTGCCAGCCCTCCACAGTCTGCGCTTTGTTTCCAGGCGACCAGACCCCGGCTTATTCCTCAGCTGAGTGAGTTCAGTTATTTATTTACGGATGTCCATCAAGACCTGGGGGCCAGCTCAACTCAAGGAGCTCAGGGCTCCTGTAACCCTTGGGTTGCCTGCTGCGCTCAAGGCCTCGCCTTCCAGGAGGGCCCCTTCCCAGCCCTTTGGAGAGGGGAGGGGGGAGTCTCAGTCTGACAGCGAGTGGGAGCCACAGTCATACACCCTGTGGGACCCGTCCGCGTTGTAAGGCCCATTGTGCCAGTAGGAAGAGTCACAGACTGTCTGCAGGGAATTGATTTCGGACGCCGAGGAGTTGGCGTCCCTCCGCTTTGAGCGCTTGCGGTTCCTCAGGATGAACACGAGCATGCCCACCACGGTGAAGGCGGAGGTGACGAACACGAGCAGCAGCCCGGGCACCAGCACCGAGATGGACACCCTGCTGGTGTCCAGGTAGGAGTTGGAGTGCGTGCCGGTCTCGGCCTGGCCCGTGCTGTTCTTGCTGTGCGCGCTGAGCGTGGGCGCGAGGCGCGCATAGAGCTGCGGGCAGATCTCGTCGTTGGCGAGGAGCAGGAAGTCCTTGCGGAAGAAGCGCACGGGCGTCTCGCATTTGAGGTCGCTCAGCAGCACTTCGGAGCCCAGGCGCTCTGCCCACTGCTTGAAAGGCACGATGGTGCAGGAGCACTCCCACGGGTTGCCGTGCAGGTCCACCTGGATGATGGACGTGAGCTGGTCCAGCACGCCCGCCACCGGCAGGTACATGAAGTAATTGTTGTGCAGGCTGAGTTTGGAGAGGGAGACCCCCGCGAACACGTCCACGGGCAGGGACCGCAGGAGGTTGTTGTTAAGGATGAGGATACGCAGTTTGGGCATGGCGTTGAAGGTCCCGGGCAGGATGAGCTGGATGGCGTTGTACTCCACGTTCAGATACTCCAGGTTCTGCAGCCCCGTGAATTTCTCCCGGGACAGCGTGTCCAAGTAGTTGCTGTCCATGTACAGCCATCTGAGGTCCTGAAGGTTCTTGAACGTGTTGTTCTCCACCGTGGCGATGTTGTTGTTGCCCAGGTCCAACAAGATGAGGCTCTTGTAATCCACGAAGTGCGATCTCCTGATGCTGTGGATCTTGTTATCTCGCAGGAAAAGCTCCTGCACGTTGGCGAGCTTGGGCTTCAGGTCCGCCAGGCTGCTCACGTTCCGGTTGTTGCAGTTCATCTTTAAGCCGGAGCCTGGGACCTGGTCGCAGCTGCAGCCCCCCGGGCAGGGCAGGCCGCTGGCCGGAGGTCTGTTCCTGGCGCTCCCGGCCGCTATGGCCGCGGTGGGTCTGATTTTGATCTGCCAGTTTCCTGGGACTTTTGTGCCCCCGTGGGGCGCAGACCCTGGCGTGGCGTGATCTTCCTGCCCGTTTGTCTTGAAAGGAGTTGGCAGCGGCCCAGGAGGGAACGTCTCGTCCTGGGCAGGGGGGGCAGGGAGACTGGAATCCACTCGGGTTTTCAAAGGACATAAATCCTGCTCGGTGGTCTCGTTGAGGTCCTTGCCCTGCAGTCTAGTGGGGGCTTCGCAGACCACCCGGCCGATGAGGGCGTTTTTGGGAATATTTTCCAGCCATTCTTTCAGGGAGAGCAAGTCACAAGTACAGTCCCAGGGGTTGTCCTCCAGCAGGATCTCGGCAATGCCGGGGATCTGTTCCAGCACCTCCTCATAGCGCAGCGTTTTCAGCCTGTTCCCCCGGAGGTCCAGGTGGGTGATGGGCACGTACTGGAACACGTTGGCAGGGAGCGTGCTGATGAGATTGTCATTTAAGATGAGCACCTCCAGCTTGTTCAGGTCCTGGAAGGCCCCTGGGTCTATATCCCGTAATAAATTAAAATCGGCCTGGAGGTATTCCAGGTCGTCCAGCCCCAGGAAAGTCTGCTTGCGGAAAGACTTGATCTTGTTGTTGTTGATGTGCAGTCTTTTCACCAGCTGCAACCCCAGGAAAGCCCCAGGGACGATTTCATGCAAGCCATTGTTTTCCATGTGCAAACTCACGGCATTGTAAAAGTTGGCGAACTCATTAGGGAAGAGCCGGGTGAGGGAATTACCGTGCAGGAATAAGTGGTAGAACTGGGAAGTCGGGGCGGTGAAGCGCTGCAGACTCGTGAAACCCTTTTTTTCACAGTCTACGTGGAGGTCCCCTTCTATCTCATTGCAGGAACAGACCTTCTCTTTGCAAACGTCCCCTGTAACGTTTCCAGCGGCAAAACAAAGAGACGTCTCCAGCAACAGAATCCAAAGCAGCATTTTTAAAGCGAGCAATTCATCCCCGATTTCATGACAAAGTAACACCGACCATCCTGCTCGCCACAGACACAATCCAAGTTCATGGAGTGTTCCAGCGTCCGAGCCCAGGCAAGGAGAAGAGATGGGGTTGGGGGGGGTGGGGTGGATGTCTTCCTCCCTAACCCCCCCGCACTGCAACAGCCCACACTCCAGTCAATACTTCTATCCACAAACTATCCAGGCACGTAGTGCAAGGCAAGCAAAAAAAAAAAAAAAACCAAAAAAAAGAAAAAAAAAAAGGAGGGGTAAAGAGAAACCGACACCCCCTCAACCCGTTCCAAATACCCAAAGACAAGTTAAATTACGCATAGGATGGAGAGGCACCCCGGTAGGACCTCGCCCGGGGCGCCCAGCTAGTCGCAGAGGGAACAATGCGAGCGATCAGAAGCGGGTGCATGTTAGACGCGAGCGGGGGGTTCGTAGCGCGGGGCGGGCGCACGCCTGGGCATGGCCGGGCGCCGGACTGACCTTGCCTGGGGGAGACCCGGCGGCTCGCGGCGGCTCCGAGCGCAGGGACGCGGCTGGCACCTATGGCGCGGCGCACACGGCTGCCTCCCGCCCGCGCGGGTGCTGTCCAGGCCCCCGGTGCTGAAATCACGCCCTGCCCAGCACTCCCGCCGCCGAGCCAATGGCGCTGGGAAATTTCCGCAATCTCGCCGTGCCGCGGCTGTCCATCCTCGCTCGCCTCGCCCCCGTCCGCCGCAGCCTCTTCCCGGGGCCCCCGCTGGTCCTCGCCGGCTGCTTGTCCCCGGGCCTCCTTCCCTTTCGGCGGCTCCTCGCGAATCCCGGGAAGGGGGCGGAGGCGGGGGGCGCGGGGAGGGCGGGGGGCGCTGCGAGGGAGGGGCGCGCAGGCCTGGGGGTGGGGGCCCGCGAGTTGCTAAGAAGCTCTGCTCGTTCCAGCCTGGTGCACTCGGCGAGATCTGACACCCTCTGCTGATCTGCAGTAGCAAAAATCCATCTGCTCGGGGAATCTCAAGAAGAAAAAAACAGTCCACGTACAGGACAAGTGTTCAAAATGTGGGCACTGGAGGCGGCCGAGCTCCACTGACGCTGGTCTGAAATGGAGTCTTTAATCCTTTTTGGGGAGGGCTGGAAACTTTACCCCTGCCCTTCCCCTAGAGACTCCACTGCCCCCACTCGCTCCCACGATCGGAAAGCAGGGCTTTTAAGACATAGATTTCCCAGTGGATTGGATAAAATTAGTGTCAGGGTGTCAAGCGAACAGCAATTTGAGGTAATTGTACTGCACGCCATTTTTATCAGTGTTTTAAATGCGTTTCTCCCTTCCCTGCAGTACAGTGTTTTCTGCTATTTGCTGCTTTTTTTCTTTTCTTTGCATGTTGGAAGTGGCTACTTGGTCATGCATCCCAATCATATGCATTTCATAGAATGCCATAATCTTGGGGGGGGGGGAAGAAAGAAGTAGGCACCCACTTTTTAAAACTTACACACCTATTTTGGTCAAGGAGAACTAGGTTTCCCCATGATACTGAATATATGTAACTGTGCAGGGTGAAAACACCGTGCAAGCTTATATCTTTGATCCCAGATCCTAAAGCTTTCACTTAGAACCGGAAAGGAGGGAGGGGGCTGGGAAAAGAGATCCCAGGAGGAATCGTGAGTCTTTAAAAAAAAAAAAAAAATACAGGCAGGAGGAGTGGGGGGGAGGGCGCATGCACACACACACAGACAACTTGCACGCGCACACCCCACATTCACACATACACAAACTTTCAGCATCAGTTTGGAGGAATGTAAAACGCGTACAAGTAAATAACCAGTTGCATTTGGAGACAGAAATCTCAGGTCTCCAAGGCTCTGTGCAAGCGTTATCAGCAGGCAGCGGGCAGCTGCTTTGAGGGCAAAGGCTTGTGGAGTCCCTGATGTTGGATGCTGGGAGCTCAAGGCTTTTCCCTGGGCAGAATGGCCATTTTCCTCAAACTTACACAGAGCTCTTAACAACCAAGTTCTGTGAGCTTCTGGGTAGGTCGAGAGTGCTGCCTGCGGACTTTCCTTATCAGACTGGACACCTTTATCTTCAGAAAGTCTTACAAAAAAAATGCTGTTCGTTTTAAGGTCTGTATTTGCCTGGGTTGGTTTGTTTTTTTTGTTGTTGGTTTTGTTTTTTTTTTTCATGCTGTTTTATTTTTAACAGCTGTTGGTCTGTTCTTCAGTCGGAGGAAATCTGACATGGTGGCCTCCTTTACTCTTTAGGTCTCTCACGCTTTGGGACTGCTGCTAAGAGGCTTCCAAGCATTTGTAGAAATGATTAAGAACTGTGCATCTAGAGAGGGATGTGGAATGAAGAAAAAGGACTGCGGTTTAGGAAACAGGGAATGCGGGGGAAGTGCTGGAAAGATCTCCTTTCTCCCACCTCCCCCAGCCTACAGAGGAAGCCAGCGAACCCCAAGTCTAAATGGAAATATGTCATGTCATTAAATACAGTCTTGTGGTCCCTGGGAAAATTGAGTTGGAATGGGTGAAAGGCCTCGTGTGTGTGCGTGCGTGTGTGTGTGAGAGAGAGAGGCAGAGAGAGAGATCTTTCAGGTGTCCTCTTACACTTCTAAATCAATTCTGTTCTTATTTAATTTAACCCATTACCTTACAGAGAGTGAAGAAAAAGAGCTTCATCAATTTGTTTTGAAACCTTATACCACAAGAAGTGCTGTGCAGCACTGCAGACACGGAGAGCAGTATCAGTGGAAATGGGATTTCTGTTCCTTTGAATTGGACTTAGGTCTGAAATATCCAGACAAGAGAGTGAACCCATGAATCATCCTGTGAAAGAAAGGAGGCACTTTGGTGTCTGCAGCTGAGAGGGGAGGGAGAACAACTCCTAAGGTGAGACTGCTAAAGACTGTTGTTGAGGAAGAAAATTATGTTCCTTAATACTCTAAAGCCAGATTTTTCAAGTTAATTGATGACTTGTTTTTTTTGGTGGTTTTTTTTTTTTTCAATTTGCTCAATAAATGCTTATCTGAAGATGCCCAATAAACATATTTAAGCTGATTTTACATGAATTGGGTTGAGGTTAAGATACAGTTGACATTCCCATTTCACCCACTGCCCACTGAACTATCACACTTCCCAGCTCGTCTCCCTGAAGAACACCAATGACATTGGAAAACTAGGCCAGGATTTCCCATTTCAAAGATCCTTTTTTTTTTTTCAGGACTACTCTCCACAAATAGATTATTACCTGTGGGTCCTAATAAAAGACTGTGCACAGTTAAGGAGCAACGTTTGAGAATAAAATAATAAAGCATTTCAGATTTGCACTATTTAGGCATGCTAGGAAAGAATGCAAATGCACATTTAGTACTATCCAACATCTGCCTCCATAATTTCACTAACAAAATCCCTTAATATAAGTATTTTCATAATAAAAGGGTTTCAAGGAAAGGAAGAAGTGTAACCCTTTTAAAAGCTCACGCAGAATTTAAAAATTCTAAATACTTAAGGATAACAATAACTTTCACAATGGCAAAGAAAACTCTCTGGGTGTGTGCATGTAATCATAACATTCTTCATGCCCTCAGGGACCAGTTTTAGGCAGGAATTCTTCTTAAAAGAGTTCTACTATATGTATTTGAGCTCAAGTGAACCCCTTCAAGTGCTTTGCTTCTTGTAGCAGAAGATCTCAGGAGCCGGAGATAAAGGACACTCCAGATGATGATGAGAATTGGTAATATTTGCTCTGGGCTGTACTTTCATTTCCAGGCTGTGACCAGAAGGATTTCTATTGCATCATTAAATGTTCATATTTTCTTATTCTTCCTCAAACAGGTTAATCTCTAGAGTGAAAGAGCGATAACTATACACCACAAATCTGTTCAGATTAAACGTCAAGCTAGCAGTCAACTCCACATTTGTTTTTTACCCAATGGAATAATTTTTAGGGTTTTTTGTTTTCTTTAAAATAAAAAAGTACAACAATTATTT